CTGCTATTTTAAGGGCTCCGACATCTTCGGACCAGATAGAAGAACTCGTTACTCCTAATATAACCCTGAACTGAGCGTCGGTCGGTGATTTGGTGCTAGAGCTCCAGCACAGAAATTCCTTGGGTCTCTAGTGGTTGACATGTTGACCTACTGTCCGCGGACGATCCTATGGTGTGGGTGCAAATGGCTTCTCCTTGTTTCCATGATCTCCTCGCTAGCGGGCCACTTTTACTCCTCACTGCTGGTTATTCATTCTTACAGCTTTTTAGCAACTTTTTTCCGAATAATGTAGATATGAATTTATGTCGCTCATTGTCGAAGAAGATCCGTCGATGACATAGCTTTCCTGCAGAACTGATCCTACCGATGCTGGAAATATGCATTTTTTACGGTACTGTGTCTCTCTCTGCGAGTGCAGACAAGTATTCTGGCCATGGGGTAGAGAACTTTAATTCGATCCTCCGCTGTGGCAAGACTGAGATGAATCCAAATTTGGACCCTATGCGACGAAACGTTTGAGATTTTGCTGCTGATAAATCATTGCTCGTTGACCGCAGGCTAACGTCTTGGAACAATCCAGCCAAACTGATATTACTGCGAATCTGGACGAACATCCACATCCAAGATGCAATTAAGGTCCTAAAAATACAGATCCTGTTCGGGGAGTTTGGCAAGAGCAATTGCGTCGGTGGGTCCAGTCCGTGCTACGGTAAGAGTTTTTCTGGACGGTGTTCAACAGCGTGTACTCGTCCATCGAGAGAGGCGGCGGAGGAGTCGGCTCCATGCTCCTGCAGCTGCTTCCGAAGGGGATGGAGTCGTGGGATGATGGATTCGCTGTGTTTGCGAGCGATCCTGCCACGCGCAACATCTCCAACTCCCAAACCATGCGCCTGGGCATGGTCTCCAAAGCTCTGAGTGATGCCAGAAACGCAGGGTCCTCGTTATCAGGATCAGCACGTGCTCGAATCAGCAGTACAGTCGAAACATAACACTATCCTCCTTATCATCGGACTATCTGCCATCAACCGACTCTTGTTAAGAAATTGGCATGGCAGAGAGAGTATGATTCGCTCGATGGTGTCCATTTGAGTCAGAGTTAAGAGTTGAAGCTGGCGTATCTGTTCGAGGATCTTCCCTTTCCCCGTTTGGGTCTTGAGTATTCTTTCGAAATTCACCAGATTTCGTTTAGACACATTCACAAACTTTCTCCTCAATTTGGTGTAAGAATTTGGTGAATGTCGAAAGAATACTCAAGAGTCACTCTAGATTCTCTTTCGGATGTATCTTAACTCTTCACACACTAATACCCAAAACCCATAGTGGAGAGACTAGAGCTTCAAGTTAGGATTTTGCACTTGCAGGATCTCGCACTTTTTTCTAATATCTCTCAGAAATTCCTGATTTAATTCGAAGCGCAAACATCTACACCTGTTTGTAAGTGGACAAAGTATATATTCGGGTTGCTGTGATCCGATTTAACAGAATCATAGAATCTCCATGTGCTCGTTGAACAGGCGATTGATTGCAACGGTGAAATCTCTAACTCTACCAGTGATTTCCAGAGTTTTTAATCTCCAACGACCGGTGACGAGAACACTGGTACCGTCAGGAAGATAGAGCTTGTTGATGAAAGAACGATGAATTCATCCCCGAGACTTTCAACTCTGAGATACGAGCTAACCTGAAGGTTCGAATTGCCAGGCTTTTTCGAAAGATACGATATACTTTTCAGGAACTAAAGCGAGCTCACGGCAACGCTACAAATGCGACGGATGTATCTATCCTTTAGTAGATCGGTTCTCTGTAATACATCCGTTCCAAGAATGAGAATGCTGACACTTCACTCAACAATATTGCAGGAAAAGAAAGTTTAGGCTTTGCAGTTGTAACGTAGGAGTCAAGGATATGAGTAATAAGGTAACAATCACGGAATAGAACAATTATTAAAAATGGTCCCCTCGTCATGGCTTTCAGAGAAGGGGCGGGGTTTCAAATTTTGCGTAGTTTCAACACACGTCTTTACCATAAATGTTCTTACCAATCGTCGGTCTTTCGAAGCCGAGTCCCACCGGGGATACCAAAGTCAAGCTCAATCTCGTAGCCACGATATTTCTCGCATTTATACCACTGAACTCTTCGTCGAGATCATTGTGTGGGAAATTGTCAGCTGGACATGGCTTATTTCTTATTTCTGAGAGACTGCATGCTCGGAAACTAGTGCAGAATCCGATGTGAGCTTTGCATCTTATGCTCCATGAAGTCAGGGCAGTCTCTTGAGTTCGTGGAACTTGAGATTTTCAGCGCAAGCACTTAGTTTCGTTCTGCAAACCAACTGCATCCACATGGGCCTTGTCACTGCCATTGGTTCTATTTTTGTATTTAGCACACGGAAGCCATCGAATCGAAGATAATCAAATTAAATTTCATACAGAGGGATCCCTACAAATATAGCTCAAGACAACTCGAGTGAATGGGTACTCTGAATTTACAGGACGGCATGGACGGGAGCTTGCAGTCCAAATTCAAAGTAGATGTAGAAAGAACCTTAATCAAAGAGAAAGGATCCTTGCCAGGCCTGATCGAAATCCTGGACATATCCACATCCAATCAGGGTTCGCCATTTGAAGCAAACCACGATCTCACGTAATCGACCTTAGGGCACTTCTGTGCCGTCGAAATGTACCATGTGTCTTTAAAATGGGGTGCTTCCGTAGCTAGGATTACAGCTCATATCGCCTCAATTTTTGAAGGTCTATTTCGAGGCTGTAAACGAGATGCCAAAGCTCCAAGTCCGGGGCTTACACATTCTCCCTCTAATTTTCCTTTCACTGCTTGCAACCGACACTGGAAATTAAAAATGCTTGCAGTTACAGGAACGTGCTGAACCGGATCCAGACGTAGGGAGCAAGTGTTGAGTGCTTCCTCGTCCAGCATACCAAAAGTTCCATAGACTTAGAGAATGAGGCACCACGATAAGCGTCAATGTAGTTGACGTCAAATACATTGACGCCGATGCGTGTCTCACATCGGCTGACCAGGTGTCGAACTTGAATATTAGAGGATGTGCGCTCCAGGGGTGACGAAGGAGAGACTGTCAAGACGGTGACCGTATGCCGTCGGCCCACAGTCATACGGTCGGGTTGTGCATGCTAGAACAACTCCGACCGGGTTGTTCTAGCATGCAGTCTAATTGTCTGCTTCGGGCACCGCAAAATGCTCATGAAGGTAATTCAGTACTTTGCATGCTCACTCATTGATTGCTTGTATAGATGATTTTGAGCAATACATATACCTGCAGTGCTTACGACCGACACATTCAGGAGGTCGGCCAGAGAATCCGCATATCGTGTCTCGTGTCGTGATGCGTAAATGCTCCTCAGTCCTACAGCTCTCTTTTGGGTTCTTGTCGTGCATCACCGACCGTGCTGTTAAAACCATGACAGTAAATTTCAAGTTTGAACCTTTGATCGCGTTGAGAATTTAACTAATGAACATAAGGATCAAGGATTAGGACATCTTATGATTTACTCTCACACTGAGTGAACTTGCGTGAGACAGTTTGACGCAGTCAACCAGAATCTCAACCGAGAATCCTAAAGTCAACGCCATAATACCAGGCCTCCTGAATTCTGGGATTTGTTAACAAAAATCCATGATTAAATCTTGCGGCATCCATAAATTATGAATAACAATTTTGGCTTTGTCACAAATAGAATTACGTCACGTGTTCTTCGTCTTCATACAGAAATCATTCTCTCGTAAATCTTCGAGACTCACACGTGAAGAAATCGATTAATGTCAAATAATAATGTACTTATTAACTTTATTTGTTGACAAACCCCAAAATTAAGACAAGTGGAATCAATAATTTAACTTAATTTTTTTACTCATGAAAATTCCCAATCCTTATGAGGCCTGTATATGACCGATACAGAGACAGGCAATCAATCGAGCAAGTTGTCTCTTCGCTCAGAAGCAAGATAACATCCCTTCGTGAAGAACGTTTCAAAAGTACTGTCGACCAGCTCTTATGTCTTCTCCGAAGAATCCGAATATAGAGGCTTCTTTACATACAGAGAGTCTGAATTTAACTCACCGATGCGAATCAGGAAATAAGCATTGAATAGACATGCGCATTTGGTGTATATTTTATCCTGCATCTTATCATTATTGTTATGTCTCTCATGAATCATCCTGATCAAACTGAAACCACCTCAGCCCAATCAATCGAAATGGTTTACCTCAACAATCATGGCTAGATAAGAAGAGAGACGGAAGCACTTGACACTCGAGACCTGATGACCAGGATCCCACCTCCAGGCGTCACAAAAGATTCAGCTAGTTGAAGCCCAGGGGAAACGTCGCAGCCACTATCTGTCTAACTTGGTGAGTTTCGAACCTGACTATGCTGCCATGCTTCCCTGGTCCACACGGAAGCCAGTTTCGTTGTCTTATAGGTGGTGGTATTGGCGAATGATGAGTTGTTAGAATCAGCAACAGAAAGTTCACAACTTTGGACGTAGTACGAAAGATCATTTCATGGTACTCTACCGCGCGCAGTTTGCATTGATTGCTACTGTAATTTGCTGAACGGGTCATCACTAATAAATGACTCCACGCTGCCAGCATCAATGGGTAGACACTAACCCACTGGTGCCATTCCACGTAGGTCCAGAGAGGTCATCGTGTGATTTGACGAGGAAGTTCACAACTTTGGACGTAGTACGAAAGATTATCTCATGGTACTCTACCGCGCGCAGTTTACATTGATTACTACTGGAATTTGCTGAACGGGTCATCACTAATAAATGACTCCACGCTGCCAGCATCAATGGGTAGACACTAACCCACTGGTGCCACTCCACGTAGGTCCAGAGAGGTCATCGTGTGATTTGACGAGGAAGGTCTTGGAAGAAAGCTGAAAGGCGCTGATGGATCATCACGCTCCATATAATTGCAGCAGTCCAAAGGAAACTGTCGACAACGCAGTATTGAAGATGGCGAACGCTGTAACATTCTTTTGGGCCACGAATCCTTCCGGCGTACAATCAACTCAAAGATGAAGCAATCTACAGAGCAAGAAGCTTGATCCTATGAGTTCAGCCGATCACACAACATCTTTGTCTGAAGTACCATGTACCATGCACACGTGACTCACGAGATGCTCACAAGATCATAAACTAAATGTATAAGGATCTGGAGAATATCTATGAATTCTCCAGTTTCACTACGTGACTAGTTGCGAGGGTAATGCTTGAAGACAGGTGTTGCCTGATGAGATCTGAGCTGCATGACTCGGGTGTATGGATGAGAGTCCATATCCATTACCATAGCTGTTTTCACGATTACAGTGCTACGTACTTTAGCATCGTGTAGTGGGCCCGTTGTACCCAGTAATTGTAACAAATGGATTCTGAGATTAGATGGGACTCGATGTTCAACAGTGAAGCAAGTTGGGAGCTCCACGGCGAGCTTCACTGACGGCAAGATGCAGCTGCTTGAACCAGTCCAGTAAGTATATAAGGACCTCGCTCAGCTTCAGCTCAGGGAGCTCGACGGATGTAGCATTACGAAAAACTTCTCTTGTGAACTCCTCGGGTGAGTGCCGAAAAAGGTGACATTTCGTCTCACATTCAATTCTTAGATACTGGAAAACATTCTAGAAGTACTGAATATTTTTTTCTTCAAGTTTTGTAGCATTATTAACACCTGCCCAAAACATCGATAGAGTATTCTAGTATTCAATGTCTTTGACTCTGTTGGTGTCTGTATGATCCTGATTGGCTGTAAATCGGAACTCGCGTTCTTGACTGCAGAATCTCATGAAGAGAAACGCCTGCTGCTAGGCAAGTCAGTCAAAGTCTTTGATTTTCTGCTATCTACGATGTCCATAGATACGGGGATTTATGATTATGTTTGTCACCTGTACGAGCATAGCGAAAAAACTATCTAATACTCCAGTCTTTGATCTGTGGTGGTGTCGTCTTGAAGTTTCATAGAAGAGTCTTGTATTCATCCCTGTGCTTTCAAATGTCTGCTTCATCATTTTTTACTGAATTTTTATTTTAGTGGTACAAGCCAGAATGGTGCTGTTACTTGCGAGGTTAAAGACTCCAGATGCTAAATCTCACACGAAGGTTCTAAGGCTCATGAGAACAATTTGATTGCAGATATTCAGGTTTAAGGCAGGATTCTGTGGCTATGGATTCCTTGAAGTTGATCTTCCTCGCATTGCTGTCTATTCTTAGTGTTTCAGAAGTGAAAGCAACGTACTACAGGTATTCAATAAGTTATTATGAGGTCATCCCACTCTCCGACACAGTCGCGTTCACCCCGAAGAAAAGCGATGCAATTCCAAACAAAGGAACAGGTTATGTGAAACACAATGCCCTTATTACGCAAGAGGGTCGCGTTCTCGGTCACGTTGGTGGAATCTACTTCTACCATGGACAAGACGTGATCGAGGATATCGTGACCATCACTTTCAGTAAAGACATGCGAGGAATTTGGTGTGCCAGCTCGATCAACCTGCGAGGCTTGTGGTACATGACTCCAGACGGTGAAGCTGATCTGAATAACCAGGAGTTGGCCATCGTGGGTGGACAGGGCCATTTTAGAGGTGCCACGGGTTCTGTATACTACCAGAGAGTTCAATCACAGCCTCAAACCGTCTTCTTTGTCACTTGCGATATCTATATACCTGATTTCCTTTTCTACGGTAAGGCAATCGAGGTCGACCTCGACCAGCAGTTTAAACCTGATTCCAAGCCTCAGTTCCTTCATGGACACGGTGATCTGATGATCAAAGGGATGATTGCGACGGCCTGAAAGTAAAAGTGAAGCTGCAAGACAATCAGCCTCGCCCATAGTTTTACGAAATGACTCTGCTGGTGGTGTGACAAAGATATACGAAATTCATGGAGACTTTGTTCATGATAAGTTTGTGAGCATAAGATATTCAGTATTTCTTTCCATAGCCGTATATTGTACATTCAGATACGAGTAGGTAGTTTCTTCACGCAGGCAGTTAACGAGATTGTATGCCACTTGCTCATTTGGTTGTTGGATGGAACGACACCAGGTACATCAGAATCGTTTTTATTAATGTGTGAGACCCAAGACATATCAGGCTGTGGCTAGTTGCTCACCTGTTTGTAAGCGATCATGATAGAACAAGACAAATTCAGTATACGCGACAATAGGATGAATCCTCGTGTACGGAGGTTAGTATGTTCTTACTCTCTGACAGCGCTGATTATCAATGGAAAATCTGTCTTACGTTTCTTTCACTCAAGACCCTTTGCTTTCAGTAGATGCCATCATCTACTTCTCGTTATTACTCATTTTCTGGATGTCTGATGCATTGGCTTGAAGGCTTCCTGCTTCTCTTGGCCACAACTTCTCTGAATTTTCCATTTTGTACATTACCTGAAAGGTTGAAGGCACAGCTGCACGCAAGATTGTCATGCACAAGCACTAGAAGCCATAGTCATGCATGAACACAACCTTTGGTCTTCGGTGAGCAGATTCTCTCGCACTCGTTATCGATTATTACGCGTTGATGATCTGCGCTCATTGCTGCTGTGATCAGGATCACCACCATCCTTTTCCTGTAAAAATTCAGTGACATCCTCACAACAACGATAGCAGCAACAATGAAAGCAGATTGTGGACAACTTTGGAGAAAGCTACTCTGGCCATGTATGAATACAAAACAGAAATCATTCATTCCTGATAACTTAATACAATCTGTACATACACGTTACGCCATACGTTTTACATTAAGGTAGGAAATGTTTGACATACACGCTACGCCATACGTTTTACATGACGGTAGGAAATGTTAGAGTTTCAAAGTTAAAACGAGATACATATAGTACGTTAGACAATCTTAAACGATGAAATTGAAACCAGTATTCGTTGAATCCCCTACTAGTTGATAAGCATGAAAAAATTGTTACTCTCTCTTTAGTAAAACTAAAGTCGGAACTTTATTCAAAGAGTCAAATTCCATATAATACAACTAATTACTACCAAGTAAGACAAAGCTGAAACTCATCACGTATGGAACTTAAATATAATATTTTAATCTTGTAGAACAAATCTAAAGTTTGTATTATATATACATCAAGTTCATAAAGTTTCTTTTCTTAAATAAAAGCTTTATCAATTTGCTTTTAATGATAGATGCAATGAAATATTTATGAATTTTAGTAAATTTATGTAAATAATGAAACTGAAGGTGACATGAAACAAAGAACATAATTTGATATGTATGTACTTTTACTGAGTACAAAATTTGTTAACGTTTGACTAGTATTCGCAGAATCAAGAATGCAAAATTTCAAATTATGCATACTATCATGTTCTAAAAAATGGACATTCTTATTCATATGAGTACTATCATTTTGTTAATTAATATCAACATTTCTTTTGTAATATGAATGAACTATCTCATATTTTACCTGAAGATATTGAAATTGTAGCACAGAAGAAACTGAATATTACAAGGTGTGATAATGTATATATCATAAGATTTTTCAATGATGTAAGATGCTTAAATGTAAAATACACATCAAATTTTAAAAATTTCAACAAATTTAGAAATGAAACAATTGAACAAAATTTTTAAAAGTTTTGAAGTTGAAATCCGGCCTTAAGAAAGTTGACTTTTTAAAAAAAAAATTCTTTGAAATAATTAAACTAATGAGTAAATAATTTGACAGAAATGTGAGAAGTTTTGTCCACTTTATGTAAAAAAGACTAAAACAAAACGATAAACATATATTTTTTTTTAACATTTATCAATGAAAATCTTCTTATTAGTATGCACTGTTATTTTAAAAATAAGACAATAATCACAAAATAATAAAAATATATCATAAGATATAGATAACTCATCACCAGACTGAAGAATATGATCAGCATAATATAGGAATAACAGTCAATAACAATACTGCCATAAGAAGGTTCAAATCACGCAGATGATAGTCATACTTGTAACTTGACGGTAAATTCGAGGATGACTGATAGAACACGTGATTGCATATTCTCTACCAAGTAGTTAAAGGTTTGTACTGTGGTCGGAATTGGGGCTACCCCGTCCGCGTCCGTCAACTATGTACAATTTTGTACGTCAACTATGTACAATTCTGACCACAGTAAATGACTATCGACAATTTCGATCGAAGGTCGAGGGAGAAAAAGAAAAAGGGCAAGGGCGAGGGAGGGAAAACTAAGCAGGGATTGGAATAGACATTTGACAGAGTGGCGGAGTTGGATCGATCGCTCTTCTCACCACCGTCATGGTACCGACCTCAGCCCGTGCTGCTGGTAAACCAGCAACAGCGCTGGTACTATCGCGTCCCCTATCATATCGACTCTTCCAACTCCCACAGGTAATTAAAAACCTCCACTGGCGCGAAGTCCAGCCCAAGCAGTGCCGTTTATGAACCCAAATCAACCAAAAACCCTGGAAATGCAGCCACTCCATCTGATTTCATCTAATCTTCATCAAATTGATCGCAACAGCTTCATCAAGCACAATAAGTCATTCGTCCCGAATTGATCACTGACCTTGGATGCTACCATGCGGCTGACTGTCCTTGATCAAAAGTCTCATCCTCGTACAGAATGCAGCCCGCCATAAAATCAGTCGAGTAACACAGAGATGAAGATGTGCAGTTGGTGCAGTCCGTTATACTAAACAAGAGAGTTCTTGCCCTGCAGCACTACACTTATCCACGTAACTGCCATAAGAAGGTTCAAATCACGGAGATGATAGTCATACTTGTAACTTGACGGTAAATTCGAGGCTGACTGATAGAACACGTGATTGCATATTCTCTATGCTTTTTGAAAGTGATATGTAAATTTTATCCAAACTTGACAAGGTTGTCATTAGTTGGATATCTGGGTAGAACTAGAGAGCAAAAAACTGCTTGCATTCTGCAGACCTGCATTCACATACACATGTTGTTTTGCTGAAAGGTGACAAACACACACAACAAAAAGCCTCTGTCTCTGAAAAGTTAAGGATCAGCTCACACTATACTCTTTCAGAATATTTCAATAGGTGGTATGAAATAGATAGAGTCCAGCAGGTGCTTATTATACAAGATATATAGATATTATAGATAGATATTATTATATATAGATATTATAGATAGAGTCCAGCAGGTGCTTATTATTATGCTTATTATGCTTCTCTTAAACAAAGAGTCTTATAAGTCTTGCATTATAAATGTAGACTATGTGCTCGAGTGCTCATTGCATTGTACCCGTAATCCCTCTAGCTTCATCTCAAATGCTTACAATGTACTTCCTATGATACCAACAAATCATGTTAAAAAATTTAAGAGAGACCTGATCACTATATTCTTCGCAGACTATAGATGTAAAAACCTATGTCGGATGCTCATCACTTCCTCTCTATGAAGATAAAACTCCAGTTAAAAAGTAATGTGAAAAAATTCAGCATGTGCTTTCCGGTGATAAGGATAGTATTCAACTATCAAGTTCTAGAAATGCATCATATTCTAGCTCCTGTCAATCTTTGACAAAAACACTTCTAGCCATTCCGCCATGCACTTAACGCATCCATGAATGAGAAACTTTTCCAGAATCAGAATCTTCTCCCCTCCTTAACCTCTTTATTCACTATAATTTGATAAGAATCCGTTTCTGTTGTTTTTCTAGAATCAAGATAAGGTATATTGATTGCTGATGGATAATTTTTCACAATACCATCTTCTGCACTTACTTCTGCAATCAAAGATTGATCAAAATCGATAGAAGTAGCAGCTTCAAACTTATAGTGTCTGGTTTCAAATGTTAGAAGGTGTTTTGTTAGGTGAAGGTGACATGAACATAATCTGATATGTATCTAGTTTTACTGAGTACAAAATCTGTGAACGTTTGAGTAGTATTTGCAGAATCATCGATGCAAAATTTCAAATTATGCCTACTATCATGTTATGAAACAAAGTACATTCTTATTCAAATCAGAAATATCATCTTGTTAGTTAATATCAACCTTTTTTTGTAATATGAATAAACAATCTAATATTTTACATGAAGATGTTCAAATTGTAGCACAGAAGAAGCTGAATATTACAAGGTGTGATAAGGTATATACCATGAGATTTTTCAATGAGATAAGATGCTTAAATGTTTAACACACACCGAAGTTTTAAAAATGTCAATATATTTAGAAATGAAACAATTGGACAGAAATTTATTAAAGTTTTAAAATTGAAATCAGGACTTAAGAAAGTTGGCTTGATGCTAATGAAAATCTTTGAAATAATTAAACTAATGAATAAATAATTTGATAGAATGTGAGAATTTTTTGTTCATTTTATGTAAAAAAAATAAAACAAAAAAGTAAACGTATATTTTTTTTAACATTCATCAATAAAAAAATGAAAAGCTTCTTATTTGTATGCAATGTCATTTAAAAAAAAATATTACTTAGTAATATATTAATTCATTAATTATTGTAAAATAGAATTATCATTTATTATTGTAATAAAGGCAAATTGATATGTTAACTTTGAAGAGAGTAAAAAATATATGCAATAATTTAAATAATCTTCATTCATACAGTCTTATGTACACAGTAAAATATTTTTATTTTATAATATTTTTAACTACTTTGAATATTGTTAATTCATATGTATCTTTTCAGATGTCTTTTTCAATTAATTTACATTATATCATAGAATTGAAATGTCTTGATAAATAGTAATATCCAACATTTTATTTGCAAAAAAAATTCAATCTTTGATCAAAATTAACAATTTTTTCCTGAAGTCAAGATAATTCAAATGATACATATTGAAACCCTTGATTGAGATCTACATTGAGGCACAATGATGAAGATGTCACCTCCAAGTGCATTCAAGTAAAGAGATTACAAGAGAGGCTACCCTATTGAAGCAATGTAGGTCCAAACATGAATATCCCCTAGATTGAGCACCAATTTTTGAACCCAACAATTGTGCTTGGCAAACGATTCTGGAAGTGTGGTGTGCATTACCATAACATGCACCGCCCAAGTGACAAGAAAATATTAAAACCTTGTGTTTGCAAAAGCAAGAATCAGAAATCTCATGCACAAAGTGTTGTAAAAAAATGATCGAATCATCTCTTAGACAACATAAATGCCTAAAGAATCTCTTATGGGATCATTAATTTTAATCATTCAGAAACGTCACCATGCCTGGAATACCTGACTTTACCCTTGAGAAATGTTCAACAAGAATTCTGGTATAGATTTGAAATGTATTAATTAAATGAATTTGCTTTTGCAGAGCAAAGTTCAAAGACCTAGACACTAAGTGGATATTTAGACTCTGCGTCAGCAGGGATTTCGTACTATAACACTTTATGATGCACTCCGTGTACTTGACTCCTCTTACTTTTCTTAATTATTTCAGAAAGACAGTAAGTAAGTAATTGATTCTTTCATTTTATCAGTTAATATTTTTTTTAATTCATCATTTTTGTTTAAAAATAGAAATTTTCTTTTCTTGACGACTGTACTAAAATGACCACACTATGGTATACTTAGTCCATAATATGTTCAGCTTACATATCTCGAAACCAAAAGAGGACACTAACTGGTGCAGTGCAGTGAAGTCACGATGATGAAATAATCTATATGAGTTATCGGTCATCAATCTTGACTTATTGGAGGTTTGCCAATTCTCCAATCTAAGGTGGCGGGTTAAGCAGAACGATTGCGATGTCACTGAACCTGATCGTAAGTATTTGTTAAGGGGTTTGCGATATAACTGAATGTTGTACGATCTTTCATGCTCAACCCGTTCGTAGACTCCTATAGTTGCTGTAATGAGCTTCTAATGGATAAGGTGTATATGGTTTGAATCGTTATCTCGGCAAAGTCTTGAGAAAACGATGCATTTGACAATATTTGTCACGAATGACTGAAATCACGTCTACACAGATGAGAGGAACCGAACGCTCCAAGAAACATCTCAATAATGACAAGAAAGCAAGGATTTGCAAAGGCAGGCAGCTAAGTCTTGGATGGTGCGTCCAAAAAATTCGATACGTAATTTTCAATTTCTGTGGTCCTCGCCATTTGGCAGGAGATGTGTTTACAGCTGCAAGCTATGCGGCTTGCTCTCGTCCTGATTAATGATAAGCCGGCATTTTCAGGCTTAGATACATATATGACAGCAGTGATAAAATGATAGTCCTAATGTCAGAGAGAGACGCTTGGTTCAACCGCAAGAATCGGAAGAACTATGCTACAAGCAGATGAAGGTCTCGTCTCGTCGCACGGGTCTGACATAATGGGCATTCAGTCTGTACACTGAACGGAGTCGATTCCCTCCTAAACATTCGCATAACAAATTCTTATCTATGCCAGGAATCCCAGCTTCTCTCCGTTCTTCTTCGCCAGTCTAATCAAGCCTTGTCTTTGCTTTGCGTCTGCCCCGATAGATATACAAAACTCAGTTATGACCTGCGCATCCGAATCGGGAATTTGAGTACACTTCTCATGAATCAACCTCCTACAATTCAGGGAGCTTGTGTGGGCATCGTCGATGGAGGAAGAGAATTCAGTTTCATAGGATACTGAAACATAGTTGAAATATCTGCTGTGAATGTCAGTGGCTTTTCAAAAAGCTCGAAGACGATTCGAAATCTCTGAATTGTTTTTAAGTCTAAGTTTTAAGATGTTTTTAATTCTCAAATCTACGAATTTTTAGCCGCAAAATCAACAGATCTGGCTCACTGACAACTGAAGTTGAAGTTGAGGTAAAGATGAAGGGTGCTGCTACAGATGTATACTGACAGCACGGAATCAATTTTCCCGCCAGCAATGTCAAGATGCTAACTACTGCTGTCTCAAAATTTCTTCCCGATCAGTCTGTACCGAGACCAGGTTGCTTCCCATCTAGAAGCTGAAGACATGCCTACCCACGAGCTTCTCTAGATTTAAAGTTTAAAATTCAAACCATAAGAGATTTCATATCCGAGATGAATATCTCTACAACGATCTTACAATCAATACCGGCCCTACAACACACAATCGGGCATACTCAAAGGTCACTGTACTTCCACACAAAATTGCTCAAACTTATCAAAATTTCAGTTTATTCAATCCTTCGAAATGAGCAAAGACCCCAATGGTCAGCTTTATCTGCTTTTGGCATCTGGAAAAACATCATTTTTTGCAGAACAAGTTTTCTCTATCCATAAAGGACTTGGTATATAGACATGCGAGAAAAACGATCCTGTTCTCTGACAGATAATTTGGGAAAGTGCTCTTGTAATCAATCTGAGTGCTTGCCACCATGTTTCTCCTTGTTCTCATTGTGGATAGCTTACATGATTGTAACCACAGCAGCCACAAACGCCTGATCAACGTTGGGACTAACAAGCACTCCATAATTGCTTCTGCCCGTAATCATAGAGGTCAGGGAGAAATGCTTCATCGCAACCTGCATTAAAAGATTCGCAGATCATTTTCCATGTAGTCAATAATGAAACTATTTCATATGAAGTCATGACTAGACACATGTTCTATCTCAAATATCTGTGGACGCTGCTTGACTAAACCTTCAAAGGATTATAAAGTTAATCTCGACTATTAGTTTTGAACATACCTCCGCCGCAATCGACGATACTTTGAAAATGATTTAATAGTTGCGACGAACAAAGTCACCCTTCACTTGGAAGGTAGGTTCTGATTCAGACTCGAGTTGAATCTCGTATGTCAATTCTGCGGCGTCCCTCATGTTTTTGTCCCAAACAGTGAAGAGTTCTTCCCAACTCTCTCCTTTGTAAACTTGGTACGTGTCGTACAGAGAGATTTTCTGGGCGCAGAAAAGCATTCACAGATCATGAATTTACATCCCTGTGGTTATACGTCTAGCTGGTATATATATGGCAACCACGCAGACAGTGAATCATGGAGCTCTCTGATTTTCAATGTTCCACGATTCCACTATTGAATCTTAAATGCCAACATTCTGTTCAGGAGGATGGGCAATCACACAGAATTTCATCACGGAAAAAGAGGATGTCATCCAAATCGGATTTGCCAAATTTAAATGTTTTTCTGGTGGGGAAACGAGAGTGCTAACTTCAAGTTACTGGCTGCAACCAGAACAAACCTGAACCCGAATCGACAAATTTTTCAACATAATCTCTTTCAAGAATATCATATCTGCTTTTTGGCTCGACAGCATAGAAGATGGCCTCCACGATATCTTATAGAAATGACCTTTTTGTGAATGCTGACCTCAGGAGAGTCACCATCATCGCGCAAAACCGTCAGTTCCCGTAGGAAGACCTTCTTCTGATCCAGCTTGAAAAGGGTCTGGCTCTCGGAATCAGTGATGACATAGTTACCATTGTTGCATTCCAATACCTTCTTGGCAAATGTGAGTTTCACCTCCGAGGGCGAGCAATAATGGGCATCAACAATAACTGGAATATCCATTTTTCAAATATGCAGTGAAAGATCCTCAGATCGTCAAATCTCACGTGGGAGTATGTAGGTGAGCAGGCTCAAAATTTTAATGGAGAACGAGATACATGTACAACTTGAAGTTTCAAGGAATGCTTCAATTCCATGGGATAAGTTTAAGTTAGAGATCCAGCTTACCTCATCACGTTTGAACTCCAAAGATGTCAAGATGAAACAACTGAATCATGCATTCATAATTGAACAAATTTCTAGAAGGTGACAAATCAATCAGCAAAATGAGTCCGGAACTGCTGACCAAACTAATCGTCTAGCTATGAATTCGACCTTGGTAACAATTACAAGTATTCCGATTTGAGGGAGAGATGTGCGACGATAAATATGACAATAAGGAGGACTGCAATAGCAAGGCTGCATTCGAGGTTACTTACATCGTGCAGAGAAGAGAACAAATATCCAGGAGCTGGCCTGGCAATGTTGCTTTGCTGACTTGCGATAATGAGACTGAGCCAAATCTGTGCTGAGAATGATCTAACAGCATGGTCTATTTGTACTTGGGAAGGGACTGGCGACGTATCCACTGTGAGGAGCCTGATGTTCAGCAAGATTCAAACCGTCGACCTTTAGCACTGTGGAAGTTGATCATAGAGGAGCTCCAATGGCTGAGATGGTAAATTACAAGGGGAATCCTTCATGGTCTCGCTGTCATATTGCAAGGTGAGCTACACTAGCATCAAAAAAGCTTGACCAGTTTTTACCAGTTTTTACCAGTTACAAGTTGACAAGTAACAGAATACAAACTCACACATGACTCTCAGCTGCAGGGAAGCCTCTACAACCAAATTTTTCCTTGAACATACTTTACTACTCTTGCAATCAGTATCCTGCAGACCTTTATATCACTATCGATGTGATCCTGCAGATTAGCCGAGTGTACTGAATTCTGCAAATTATCTTTCCTCTTCAGGTTCAGCTAGCAAAAGCTCTTGCTATTGAAGGTCAAGCTTTAGATTTGTGACTGTCCATCTATCAGTTGGACAGTCACTATTAGTTAGTTTCTAGGAATGTTTTTCAACTCATATTTTGCTGAACAATATCTCTTGTATCAAACTGACGGTTTAACGTGCTCATATGATCGTAGTTGAAATAGTTGCATATACCTACTAATGATGTATCCTTAGTTCGAAATTGATGGTTGTTGGATGCAGAATTGAGGAAGTGGTTTTACAAGAATTAAGTTCTAAGTTGACGTCAGAAAGTTGCAGCCCATGGTCCTGTTATGAATAGCTTTAAAGAACAAGTTGCAGCTTCTCAGGAATGTATATGAAGAAAATATAACCCAAGCCTCAACACACTTCAGATTAAACAAATACTTAGAAATTACCTATATATGAAATAAGATATGCTTATTGCACAAACATAGCTTAAGGTTTTATAAGATCTCAGCTCTAAAGAGGTGACGGCCTCTGTATCGTACTGCCCATTCACTCTACATCTTGTCAGACGGTGGTGGTAATCAACTGGCCGGGCACACATACTCCTGGCTTGGCAGCCTCCAGAGTCGGGGGCTCGTTGTAAGGTCTCTGTGATTTCAGGGCTCGAACCGCTGCAATATCAATATTGAGAGCTATAGCAGCTGCACGCTCCGGCAATTGCAAAACCGCTCCATCAGCATCCTGAAGGAGGACCACAGAGTTAGAACCATCGATAATAATGTGTAATTGTATTTTTGGAGACAATACAGTATATATGGACGCTAAAGTCTCTCCTATTCGTCTAATAGAATGATGTCTTCAGATAATATCTGAAATTGAACGCCAAAATAGAATGGAATGAGGCTTACCAAAGTGCCTGGATTTTGGCTGTTCATAGCAGAAATGTAGAAAGCTAATTCTGTACCAACATTTACTTCAAAATGTAGCAAACCGCGAGGAAAGACGATGAGATCTCCTGGGTACAGAATGTTTATATGAGTTTCCCCTGCATTCAAATGATCGAAAAATTAATAATCAAGCAATGAACTGACAAGAGTTTCCCTATTCTTTATTTAAGTCCATGCGAAATGTAATGATGATGTGATACATGCAGAAAACATCAGAACCTTTTGTATCAACGAAGCCAGCTTGTAGGGGACCTCCACTGATCAAGGAAAGGAGCTCTGTGGCACGAGGGTGGGTGTGTGGCACGTTCTCTCCGCAGGGTACCATCTTGAACTGAACAACGGTCAGACCCTCGGACCTGCAAATGTTCGGAATAAGATATATACATGCGTACTCAAGCAAAGACTTTATCTACGACAAATAAACATGTTAATTGTATATTTGTTTTATAACACAGTAAGAAACAAAATTTTGGTGTACGTAAGGCCGGGAAATTTTCCGATGTCGAGAGCTGCTCGAACTCCTCCAGATCCAGTCGTTACATCTCCATTGGCAAAGATGTTGCGGAAGACTGGTGTAGTAGCGTTTGCTGAAAAGTCCACCAGAGGATCGGGATCGGCAGCCTCGACTCTCTGTACCAGCACCAGGCATGTGCTGTAAATGAAAGCAAGCTTGACCATGCCATGCACCATCTTGGACTTGCAATCCTCCCTCGAGAAGTTCATGATCGTCGCTTGTATTCAACTTCACGTGTGAAAAATGAAAACAGAGGATGTTGTAGGAAGTCAGGGTCTATGCCGATAACTGATCCAAGAGTTGGAAGATCTTCCTGAGCCTCCTGGAGAATAGTTTTGAGTTGGCTTTATACACCTGATTGAGATGTGTCATCTTGAATTCGATACTTAGAAATTTCGTGAATTATGTATCTGGAATCTAATTTGCTGAAATGCTCTCACGCTTTGCTTGTGATCTGGTGCGTTGCAATTTTTCATGTCTGGGAACGCTCCATACTTGAACATTATCAACTGCAGCGCTGTTCCCATCATAATGTTTTATGAGAATTGAAAGGTTTCTATCTTCACATGGATACTATGAGAGAAGTCTGCATGACAATGTGCACCACAATACTTTAAAAGACATGCAGATCTTGGATCTCTCTCTACAGTTGGCGCGTCATCCACTGTTTCACGCCTCCTTACTCAACAAGTATCAAGTTCATGGTTCGATGAGGAAAAATGTTTTGACTGCTTCTTGATGTGAAAGAATTGGAATCTCAACATGACACTAAAATACCCGTCGATGCAAAGTTATACAGAGTACTTGGTGAAATGAGGGGTTATCATACTAAGCAACCTATGTCGAATTTGGAGGTGCACAGGATGTCCTGCACGAATATCAGAGGCATATAAGGCAATTTCAGTTTCTGTCTGTACAAACCTTCACTCGGAGCTACGGACAAAGTGTGTTCTCCATCCCCCCGGAGTTTCTTCGCAAAGATTTGGGCCTAGACAAGCGTTCCATTGATAAGCTTTTCCACCCAATTGGGTCTAGATCATGTCACAGCTAGACCTTGGCAAGGCTGATCAGTAGTTTCAAGAAAGTTAGAATGCATCAGAAAGTGCTCCCTTATCTCATAGCTTGGTTGTTGAAATAACTTGTAACCTGTAGATCAATAAAGGTAGCTTAAGCTTCGGTTCAACCTTGACTCCTAATTCGCTTTCTTTCCAACTCATTATCAACATATTTTGATCTGTATGGTACATATTCATAGCTATTGGCTGAACATTCCTAGAAATTACACACACATCTGCTGAATTGTACACATAAATCTTGGTAGCAGTTGTAAATGTCGAAATCACACGATCATGAGAACCTGGTTAACTAGTCTGTGCATGTTTGTATTGCCTAGTATTATTCCTAGACTACATTTACACCTCGCTGCTGATTATTCGTGTGATTTGTTGCAGACTCGCTGTCTTTAGGCTACAGCAAAGGTTTTTGTCATTCAAGTACGTTTAGTTACACTGCCCACACTGTAGTGACAAAAAAATGAATGGAACATTCTCGAGAATCGCAGCGAACTCAGTCAATCGGTTCCCGCTAAATGCACTTGAGATCCTTCAAATTTCTCTCGCAAGAATGGTCACAACCAGAGAGGCTGGTCTCCGATCTCAAATACAACGGCTTAGGCTGAAAATAAATAAACATGTGCATGATTATATATTATGCACATGACCATTTGATTCGAAAATAGTGATCAAACTGACCCTACTTCCACTGTCGTGGCCTGAAGATGACCTCACATTACATTCACCAAAGAACAGATGAAAGCTTGAAATCTGATACCAAATTGATTGAAAGAGTCGATAATGTTTAAGAAAGAGTTTAACCCATACATGAAATACAACAACCTAGCAATTCACAAGCTAAGCGTGAGAGCATTCCGATCAAATAGCAACCAGATACATACTTTACGACATTTTTACTAAAGAATTCGAGGCGACCAAACTCCTTCAGGTGTATAAAGGCAAGCTGAAAACACCTCTCCAGCAGGCTGAGGAAGATCTCCCTTCCCTTGCATCGGTTTTCATCACAGATCCTGGCGAACTACTTTATCGAGTGTGTTCATTTTCACACCAAAAAGTTGAATACAGACGACGATCATGAACTTCTTGAAGGTTGATTGCACGTTCAAGATGGTGCATGGCATGGTTATGCTTATTTTCATTTACAGCACATGCCTGGTGCTGGTACAGAGAGTCGAAGCTGCCGATCCCGATCCTCTCGTCGACTTTTCGGCAAATGCAACTACACCAGTCTTCCGCAACATCTTTGTCAATGGAGATGTATCTATTGGATCTGGAGGCGTTCGAGCAGCTCTGGACATCGGAAAGTTCCCAGGCCTTACGTACGTCGAATTCAGCAACACATTTATTTTTTGCTGGGTTATAAATCAGATGCACAAAAGACATGTCTTATATCGAAGGGATATTTTTTGGCTAACTAAATAGAGTTTCATCTTTTATCTTTCTGGCATTCGCAGGTCCGAGGGTCTGACTGTTGTTCAGTTCAAGATGGTACCGTGCGGAGAGAACGTACCACACACCCACCCGCGTGCTACAGAGCTCCTTTCCTTGATCAGTGGTGGTCCACTTCAGGCTGGTTTTGTCGACACCAAAGGTTCTGATATTTGCAACTTGATGCAAATCATCACTGGATTTGGTTGGGTCTTAGATGTATATGTGAATCCCTTCCCTGATATTTTTCTTCTGGACCATTTGACTGCAGGACAAGCTCACATCCACATTTTGTACCCAGGAGATCTCATCGTCTTCCCTCGCGGTTTGTTACATTTTGAATTGAATGTTGGTACAGAAACAGCTTTCTACCTTTCGGCTCTGAATAGCCAAAATCCGGGCACTTTGGTAAGTCTTCTTCTATATTATAAACGTTAACTTTACAAAGTATCTTCAATTTCTTTTGTGATCTGAAGAGAGTAATGAAATACAAGAATAGGAATAGCTCTCCAGACCCATGCAGACAACATAATGTTTTAGAGTAGAATGAGAAATTATTTTCAACAGTTCGTAACAAGTTTCTTTCCTTCAGGATGCTGCTGGAGCGGTTTTGCAACTACCTGAGCGTGCAGCTGCTATAGCTTTTAATCAAGATATAGCAACAGTTGGAGCCCTGAAGTCGCAGAGACCTTATAACGAGCCCCCAACTCTGGAGGCTGCCAAGCCTGGAGTGTGTGTTCCTGGCCAGTTGATTTCCACCACTGTCTGAGAAGATGTTGAATGTACAGACAGTATAAAGAAAAGTGCATATCGTGCAAGAGCCCTTCCTTCATAAAATTTGTCCTATAGTCATCCGCCGTTCTTTATGTTCATATTCGTATTAACTGATTGCAGTCATTTACTTATATTTAAATCTTTTGAAATTGTAAGATATACTACTCAATAAGAAGGGATATTTTTAAGTATTTGTTCACTTTGCATTATGTTAAATTGTTAAGGGTTCGGTTTACATTGTCTTCATTTACATCAGTTGGAAGCTGCAGCTTTCACTTCACCGCTAACATCATAAAACCTTCTTGAGTTCATACTGATTTTGTTCTTTGTGATCTAATTAAAAGCTCTTTGAATTGCCTATTCAAAATCAAGTTAGGTTTTTGACAGTCATTTCGATTGAAAAATGCAGGAGTCCAGTTCATCATTTAGTTCCAAGAGGTACCTGAGTCATCAGATCTTCGAGGTCTTGCTCTCAGAATATTTAAGTACAGTGACCTGGTTCACATGTATGAAATAGAGGAGACAACAGATGATATTTTCAAGTTGGTACCACAAAGAAAGAACACATGGTATATTGCCACAAGGACGTTCAACATGAACGCGAAAATTAACTATGGAATATATAACAATGTGACAAACCGCATGGAAATACCTTCAGACCTTCGCTCCAGCTCAGCGGGCGTGAGCGTAGAAATTTTCTTCGGCAGATACTGAACAATCGCATGCTCTTGAAACAGTATTGAAAGGATGAACTCTTTCCGATCCTACGGACGGCTGAGGCCAGCGAGAGCGAAAACTTTGTAGACGAGACTACTACTGGATGAAACCTCATCGAATCGGAAGCCGTTCGGTTTGAAAAAAGGATTTCAGGTTGTTGACAAATCCTGGATGAAGCTCCCGGAGCGGAAGGGACAAGTGTGCATCTCAGATTGTTTGAAAGTTCTGATTTGCGGTGTCATCGTATAATATGCAATGAGTGCGGTGCTATCAAGTCCATGGAAGTGAAGTTCAAATGCATGCTGGTCTTGTGTACCACGAGGAGGAATAGATGGTCCGATCGAGAGTAGCACAAGTTCAATTCCCGTATGATCTACAGATCATTCAAGGATGGCACATAAACCTTTAGTTAAACCTGCAGTAGTTAAAGCTTCCTTGTTCGATGGAGGGTTAGGGCTTAACTCGCAAAATCTATTGACAGCTCAACTGAAAGCAAGGCTTGACTTAGCTAAAGGATCACAGTAAAGTATCCAACTGGCCTTCCCTCCCTCTATTTAAGAACATCTCGAGGACTCGTAGATGGAGTCCTGAAGATGTTCACAAATTGGCATGAGTGTTGTTATGGCCTGTGGGACGAGGCTCTGAACCACCACAGTAGAGCTCTGGAACGTGGTCGATTTTGCGGTTCACGAAACTCCGACAAGCGCTCGCACACGTTTATTCGACTTCTCTTGATGACTATGTAGATGACAATTAGCTTTGATTTCATTTTGTAACATATTTTGTGTATATATTTTACATTAAGAGGTTGAAGTAGGCCAAAAAAAGTTTTATCAAGCAAAGAGGAGCAAAGAAATTTCTAGGTAATGAGTATTACATGATGTATTCAAGAGGCTTGCCAGCATGACTCAAGGGTCATGATATATTCCTTACACCATTCATACATTTCTGTGCTCCCTCTTGTGAACTAATGCGGTTCTTATTGACACACAGAACTTGCCAACCAGCTTTTGTGCGGCACAATATTCCAGTGAAGCAGATCTGGTGAGGATAGAAGGTCAATAAGGCGTACACCGTATAGCGTATTATATGCATGAAAGAGAGGGACTTAGTGCATGACGGTATATGATTTATCTAGACTATCAACTGAATGCAGAAGATAAACTTTTGTTCAAGTTTGACATCAATTCGACTTTGAAG